ATCAGACGGTCTTCTTGGGGACTCGCTTCATCAGCCAATAATTGCTACATTTAATTGTGAATTAAATGCAATTGATCCGGCACTGTTAAGAAAAGGTCGTTTAATTTCACAATATGAATTTGGAAAGCTAACTATTGAAAATGCACAAAAATTGTCGGATCAACTTGGTTTTACAACAAAAATTTTAGAATCTATGACACTTGCCGATATTTACGGACAAGAGAAGTGAATTAAATAGAATTAGCTTAGTAAAATAATTTTATTAAAAATTAAATAGTGTTTAAATATTATTTGACAAATTTTTTGTAATAAAAATAATTTCGGATTCAAAACATTCTTTTTTAGAAATTTAAAATATAAAAATGTTTTTTGTCAGGTTAGGATTTTTTTAAGCGATAATTTAACGATTTTTTTTTTTTTTTTTTTTTACCTTTGAATTAAAGACGAAGAAATTTAAGTTTTATTTAACAAAGAAAGAAATATGAAATAAGAACTAACAATTGCAAAAATAACATAAAAAGTATGATTTGAATACATTTGTTCGTTAAATATGCAATGTGGATTATTAAAATAATGCAGTAGTAGGAAAAAAGTAAAAGGTGAATTAAAATGACATTATTATTATTATTATTATTATTATTTCATTTATTTAACACCCAATGTAATTTACAAGGTAAAAAAGAAAAATAAGAAAGTTATTTCTCGTGATTTTCACTTAAGAATTTTCTCCTCCAGAATTTCTTTAAAAATTTGCTCTTTCGCATTACAGCACTCTAGTGCATGTTTCAAAGTTTGTTCAATTTCGGAAGGAATTTTACTTTTAGAATGTGCTATTTTTATCTTCTTTTTATTTTGAATTAAGTTTTGAAAATTTAGCATCCGAAAACGGCATAGGTCCTGGATATCGCTAACAAACGAATGTTTAAATAAGGGGTGTTTCAGTTGTGAAAAGATAATGCCTGAAGTTGTTTTATTATTAAGAAGACGAAGAAACAAGTTTAACTTATTTTGTTGAATAATTTTTGAAATTTCCTGATTTTAAATAGCGAATTTGTATAGTTGTTACTGTGTTTTGAAACATTTAAAAGCGATTTTAGTGCACTCCTTCGAATTACATCTAGCTTTTTCATCAAAGCAGAATTATTTTCACATATCTCCATACCATAAGTTAAGGTAGGGACTGCCAATAATTTATATATATAGGAAATAGAACTTGAGTGGGCAAACAGGATTCCAGATTGAATAAGAGTTTGAACAACAGCTCTAATTTGTTTTTTTTTGTTTTAAATTTTGAAATTTTTTCATTAACATTTGTATTGTTGAGTGAAGCAAAAGTTGAATGTTTAGTATCCCATGTGAATCCCGGATGTCTAAGTTTATTCTGAAGATTTATTTTATTACTAGATATCGTTATCGTATTGGTTTGTATTTGTGCTTTACCTGAAATCAAGAATTCAGTTTTTTCAGCATTTATTTTAATACAATTTAAATTACTGTAAATATTGCATGTTTTTATCAGCTTTTTGAGACCATAGATAGAGCTTAAAAGTATGATATCATCCGCATATGCAACCACACCAGTGAAGTTACCATATATAGATGTGCCTACAATATCTTGATTTGTAAGAGTTTCAAGAAGACTTTTATTGTAAATATTATATAGGTGAGGTGAAAGAACCAATCCTTGTTTTACTCCTTGTTTTAGAAGAAAGGAGTTTGATTTACAACCTTGATATGAGACTGTTGCACTACTATTGTTATATAACGAAGAGATAGTGTTAACTATACAGAGTGGTAATTTTTTATCGAAATATAATTTATCAAATAGGATATCCCAGTTGCAGCTATCAAAAGCTTTTTCTACATCTAAAGAGCATAGGTATACAGGTGAATTGTGGCTATTGTAATGTTTAATTGTTTTGCTAATTAACAATGCAGCATGTAGCGTTGAACAGTTAGCATTCAATCCAAACTGTAGGGGTATTTGTGAGTATCTCTAATATCCGGACATATAATAAGGATTAGATATTCTAGAACCTTTGTAAAAATTGGTATAATGCTGATACCGCAATAATTGCTCGGGCTATCTAAAGATTTTTTATGCGATTTAACAAGGGGTACAATAATAGACGTCGACATTGATAATGGTGTCCATCCATAATTAAAGGAATAATTAAAAAATTTGATGAGCCATTTTGTGAAAGTATCACAATTTGCGTATTTCAAATGTTCTGCTGAGATACCAAAAGTGTCAGGAGATTTTTTAAATTTTAGGTTCGAAATAGCCTTAATTAAATTTTCTTCAGTTATTGTAACATCATCATGTTTTGTACACGGGGGAATTCTCCGATGATTTTCATTACGATGTGTTATTTTTGAAGTATTTAGTACTTTTTCGAAGTGGTTTGCGAATTCTGAAGTAATGGATTCTTTGTCTTTTTTATTATTTATGGTAAATAATCTAGAATTTATGTCTTTGTTTAAACATCTAAAAGCATTCCAAAAGTTTTTTGGTCTAATATTTTTTAACTTTTCAATTTCAGTATACTGTGCGCAAATTTTACTGGCTTTGCGAAAGCTTTTACGAGCCATTAAGTAACGATATCTAGTTGACTTTTGTATTCTTCCAGTGATGAGGGGCTGTTCCGCGATGAGGAGAGGTATATTCCAATAACTATAATATTAATTTCATTTTTTTCGAAATTTATTGCTAAAATATGGTCGTCCTCGTAAAGTATTTAATATTTTGGAATTGATTTCTTCGTATAAAGAATATATATATATATATATATATATATATATATATATATATATATATATATATATATATATATATATATATATATATATATATATATATATATATATATATATATATATATATATATATATATATTAGAAACAAATATTAGCAATTTAACTGATTTCTGGTTCTGCAGGTAAAAGTGTTTATTATCAAAATACAATGTTAGCAATTTTGATTTTATGTGGCTTTTTAAATATTTAATTCAACACATATTTAGAACTGTAAGTGCACTGTATTATTATCAGCTTATTTATTACTTAGATAAATTTTTAAATTCATTTAGCTATATGTTATTATTTACTATTAATTTTATTAATTTACCTAATTTAACCTAATTTAATTAAGTTAATACCTAATTTACCTAATTTAATTAAGTTACCTAATATTTTTTAATCCAGTTAGAGCATAAAAATAAAATTGTTCACACTGCGTTTTGATGATAAATACTTTATACTTATAAGTTCATCCCAAAAACAATATTTTTAAAAAATATAGCTGCTACCTCCTAATGTGTTTTATATGATAAAAAAACACTGGTTTTAAAATTTTTTCGAAGAAAATATATTTTTGGAGATCCTTAAGGCGAGTTTCCACTTATCCATTTTTCAACGGGAACGGGATAGGTAAGGAAAAAATAATCACGTGAGCATGCGTAATAAAAGTTTTTATTTGTCGAAAAGAAAACTGCGCCTGCTCACGTGAATATTTTTCCGTTCCCTTTCCCTTTCCCGTAGAAAAACGGATAAGTGGAAACTCACCTTTAAACATATAACGAGTTCCTAATTTTATCAATAAAATTAGGAATATCAATGAATAAAATTATCAATATCAATAAATCTTCAAAAATCTAAAATTTTTCTTCGCCAAAAAATTTTTTGAATAAAATTTTTTTTTTTTGGAGTTTCTCAAGAAATTCTCCCTTAAACATAAATGAGTTCCTAATATTATCAACAAAAAAAAAATCTTCAAAAGTCTCAATCTTGACATTTTATCTCAAATTTAGCGAAATCATGAAAATTTCACATACGATAATTATATTATAAAAAACTTATTGAAAAAAAAAATAATGAAAAAAATTGGTAAAAATTTTCTTTTTTAGGTAATAAACTTCATTTTATATGGTGTTAAATCTAACATTAATACTTTCATATAACTTTTCTTCATTTGAGAACCAACATGATACACTTAAATATATTTTTTTTAATATTAGGAACTTGTTATGTTCCTTGGGGTCTAAAAGGAACATAATAAGCTCCTAAGAGTCTTGAGGGAGTCATTAACATATTTTTTATTCAAAAATATTTAAAAATCAGATTTTTTGTATTATATAAAACACATTAAGCATATATTTTTCAAAAATGTTCTTTTTGGGAAAAACTTATTAGATACTAATATTTTTTAATTAACTATAATTAACTTGAGATAAATATGTTTATTTTGATAATATTTTTCTTGTCATCGCTTCAACTTTAATTCGATATAAAAATTTACTTTTACTGTAATGATTTTTTCCTAATATATTAAAAACAATATATATATATATATATATATATATATATATATATATATATATATATATATATATATATATATATATATATATATATATATATATATATATATATATATATATATAAATTTTTTTTCAATTTTTCCCCAAAAATGCCCGTAGGGATAAGTGAAAACTTATGAATTCATAAAATGTATTTGATAAAACAGAAATTAGTAACTTTCATATTATTATTACCAGTCATATTATTCATATGAGTAAAATTTCTAAATCTCCGCGGGGACCTCTAAGCTCTAAGGCTTGCGGGGTTATGATCCCCTTTAGTTACGCCACTATTTGCAATCGATAATTATTTTTTTTTTACGCGAAAGAACTCCGCAAAAAGTTTCGTTTTTTTTTTTTTTTTTTTTGTTAATAGCATTGGCCTCGGGGGAAATACTTCACGAAATATTTTAAATATTGTTAGAAGACATTAAAAACTCAATTATCTAAAAAAAATTTAAATACGCAGTGAAAGGAATTCACCGAAATGACGTTACGTATGACGTAAAAAACTATTAATTTAAACTTAAATGAAGTCTGGTGCAATATATAACTAATTAAATACACAACTGGAAATCTAGTCTTAAAAGAATAAAAATTTCCATAGTTACTATACAAACTTTGTTTATTTTATAAATATAGTAAATCGTTAAATTCGTTTTGATGACCCTCCATCCAAGTGATTTTTCAAAAATTAAACTTGCTTTCAGCTTAACATGTTTTTAGAACTTTGTTTAATAAAGCAGAATGCCGTGTAGCAACGTTTTTAAGGTATTTTGATGCTTAGTTTTTTAAAGTAATGGTCAAGTTATTTTTTTCATATGGTAATATTTGGGTTGCCAGTTTTTAATTTGGTGACGTTTAACATTTTGATATTAAAAAATTGCTGTTTTTTTAAATTTTAAAATCCAAAAATATATGTTAATAACGAAGTGGTTACTTTATTAAAAGTTACAACTTTAATGGAAATTATGCACAAAAAGATTAACTCTTTTGTAAACTTTGAAGAAAAACTTTATTTTTTTTTATTTTAAACCCGCCTTCGCCATTAATTTAAAAAAAGTTGTTTTTGTAGTAAACATTAAGTGAAAATATGAGTTTAGAAAAGTACTATAAAAAAAATAATTATGAATAATTATACATTATTTTTAGTATAAACCTTTAAGTTGTTTAAATCTTTGATTTGAGTTTAAAAGTTGATTGAAATGGCGGAATACTTTGGAAAACTAGAAGAACTGAAAGGTGAAGACGTTTATAAATACAATAATGATATCTTAAAAGAAGCACAAAGATGCGGTTCAATACCAGTGTTGCTATTTTTTTGGAAGAAGTATCAAACGTATCCAAGGACAATGGAGTCGCCGTATGATATTCAACCGTATATACCTTACGATTTAACTGTGAAGTTACTTAAAGAAAAATACAATCACTCTATAGAAAACGATTTGATCACATATTTCTATAATTCACTGCATAAACTTATGTACGTTAATAACCATGTGTTTGAACTAACAGAGGGCGTTATCGTTTACTTTTCCGGTGGAATGCTTGTTTCTTCGCTTGACGGTGAAAACAAAGTTGAATACAAGATTGAAGCTTCTCAATTACATCACGTGTTCAGTAATTATAAAATCTTTTTTCTCCCGGGAAAAGAGAATGTTGTAATGGAATTTATTGAATCCATCACATTTTTAAAAAGCAAAGAAGTAGTCCCCGAAGCATGTTTACAAATGATATGTAAAAATCAATACGGTTTTTATTTGACGGCAATAAAAATCAAAAAACCAGTGATTACTGATATGAAGCTTCATTATGGGGAGGAATTTGAAAAGGTTCATGAAACTATTTTAGCTGGGTTGAAACAGGAATCTGCACACGGATTAATATTGCTACACGGTTTACCTGGTAGTGGAAAAACACATTATATTCGTTATTTGATTCAGGAAATAACTGACAAACAATTAATTTATGTCCCACCTGACATGACAGCAACCATATCATCACCTGACTTTTTACCGTTTATGCTCCAAAACACCAATTCTATTTTAATTATTGAAGATGCTGAGAACATAATCAAGTCCAGAGATTCAAAAGAAACAACAACGCAAGCTGTCGCTAATTTATTGAATTTATCAGACGGTCTTCTTGGGGACTCGCTTCATCAGCCAATAATTGCTACATTTAATTGTGAATTAAATGCAATTGATCCGGCACTGTTGAGAAAAGGTCGTTTAATTTCACAATATGAATTTGGAAAGCTAACTATTGAAAATGCACAAAAATTGTCGGATCAACTTGGTTTTACAACAAAAATTTTAGAATCTATGACACTTGCCGATATTTACGGACAAGAGAAGTGAATTAAATAGAATTAGCTTAGTAAAACAATTTCATTAAAAATTCAGTAGTATTTATATATTTGATTTTTTGTAGTAAAATTAATATTGGATACGAAATAACTTTATTAGAAAATTGAAATTAAAAAAAAAGATGTTTTTTGGTTACGTAAGGACAAGGCTGGTGCAAAGATGCCCTAGGGTGAGTAATCCTACTCCTAACCAGTGGCGTTGCGTGGGAAATTTCCAAGGGGGGGGGGGGGAAAGCCCTCATTTTTCCCAACTGCTTAACATAGATTTTCCATAAAAGGTGGGGGGTGATATGTCTGTTTTTTGCCGACTAAAGCAAACTTATCTAAAAAAAAAAAAGAAAAGTCCACGTTTTTCGATATTTGCCAACTGCCAGCAATAGATCCAATTTTGCCGACTCAAGTTCCAATTTGCCGATCGTAGGGGGTTAGACACCCCCCTCGGGACGGCTCTGTTTGTACATTATAGCAAATCACCAAGTTCCCAACTGTCCCAACTCGTTGCCTAGAAATTCCTAACTTTTCTCTTTTCAAGATTCTGAGGGGGAAGACTCCCGCTACCCCCTCCTAAAGCGACGCCCCTGATCCCAACCCCTACGATCAATGAATTTTTCGTTCATTTAGTTCGCAAACTTAACCCTTTTAGACAAGTAAATTGGCAATTGTAGATCTTTTTGACGAGTCAATCTGCAAATTTTAAAAACAAGTACTTTTTTCTTTCGTCGGCAAAAATTTTAATGGCACCTAACTTCTTCTTTTCTTCCCCCTCCTCTCTAATCCCGTGACATCTACTTGTGCTGGCCCTGCGGTAGAACTTCATTCAGGGGAATTTTGAACAATATTGTTCTTTTTTTTGGCTATTTCTCTAAATTAAAGTCGAAGAAGTTTTATTTAAAAAAAAAATGTTTTATTAAATAAAGTAAGAAATACAAAATAAGAACTAATCAATACAAAAATTACATATATAAGTATGAAAAGTAAACATTCATTGTTTAATTATGCATGTGAATTATGAAAAAATGCAATTTAGTGAAAAAAGGTGAATTAGAAATGTAGGGGAAAGTGGGGTTCAGTGGATCGAGGGACAGAGTAAATAAGAGGCATTTTCCAAAGATTAGGATTTTGTTCATCATAATAATGTAATCATTTTATGTGCTCATATATTGTCAATCTTTATTTAGAGTTGTTACCACATAATTTTTGACTACCGGTTTTTGGTAGGTTATTTTTGTTTTTAGCTAACTTTTTTAGCTAAAGTAGATTTTCTTACCTTCCTTATGTTTATTATGGAGATCATGGTTAAAATAATTTTAAAAGTTGAAGTTTTTCATTTGGATTATTGATTCTAATGTTTCCTTTTAGTAGGTTAGCTTTCCTTTAAAAACACTCATATTTCAAGAAATTAGACTTAAACTCAATATTTTACAGTGAATCAACAAATTCACTGCATTCAACATATTCACTGCATTCCACTGCATTTAACACATTCACTGCATTCAACACATTCACTGCATTCCACTGCATTCAACACATTCACTGCATTCCACTGCATTCAACACATTCACTGCATTCCACTGCATTCAACACATTCACTGCATTCCACTGCATTCAACACATTCACTGCATTCCACTGCATTCAACACATTCACTGCATTCCACTGCATTTAACACATTCACTGCATTTCACTGCATTCAACACATTCACTGCATTCCACTGCATTCAACACATTCACTGCATTCCACTGCATTCAACACATTCACTGCATTCCACTGCATTCAACACATTCACTGCATTCCACTGCATTCAACACATTCACTGCATTCCACTGCATTCAACACATTCAATGCATTCCACTGCATTCAACACATTCAATGCATTCCACTGCATTCAACACATTCACTGCATTCCACTGCATTCAACACATTCACTGCATTCCACTGCATTCAACACATTCACTGCATTCCACTGCATTCAACACATTCACTGCATTCCACTGCATTCAACACATTCAATGCATTCCACTGCATTCAACACATTCAATGCATTCCACTGCATTCAACACATTCACTGCATTCCACTGCATTCAACACATTCACTGCATTCCACTGCATTCAACACATTCACTGCATTCCACTGCATTCAACACATTCACTGCATTCCACTGCATTCAACACATTCAATGCATTCCACTGCATTCAACACATTCAATGCATTCCACTGCATTCAACACATTCACTGCATTCCACTGCATTCAACACATTCACTGCATTCCACTGCATTCAACACATTCACTGCATTCCACTGCATTCAACACATTCACTGCATTTCACTGCATTCAACACATTCGGCTCAATAATGATTTTAAAGATTAAATTCATGAATTTTTAACAAACAAACATGAAAATGAATTTATTAGTTTCAAGTAATGAGATATTATCTTTTTTATAGTAATGAGATACTATCTTTTTTAATGTACATTATGGACATACTTGTACTCATTAAAAAAAATAGCCTATGATTTTGCTGACCACAACAGGAAAATTATTCCACAATCATGCACAAAAAACCTGACTGCTGGAGAAGATTGGTTTTATAGTTTTATAAATAGATTTAAAGATCTTTCTTTACATAGACCAGAAGTAACCAGTTTGTCACGTGCAACAAGTTTTAATAAAACAAATGTTCTAAAATTTTTTAAAAGTTTGGAAGAAACTCTTAAAAAATATAATTTTAATTCTAATGACATCTATAATGCCGATGAGACAGGTTGTTGTACTGTACAAAAAGTGGGGAATATAAAGGTATTTGAGTGTAAAAAAGAAAAGCAAGTGGGAAAAATTACTTCAGCAGAGAGGAGTGTTCTGGTCACAATGCTTGCCTCAGTAAATGCTATAAAAAAATCTTCAATTTAAGTTGTTTCCTAGGGTACATTTAAAAGACTTAAAGGTACACGGTGCTCCACCTGGAACAGGCGAGACAGCTCACGTGTCACGTGGGATGGCAGCTGATTGTTTTCATTTTTTAATGAATAAAGCCAGCGCAAATGGGATGTGTGATACCCCCTCCACCTATTAATGATTTTTTTGTTCATTTAGTCGGCAAATTTGACCCTTTTAGACTAGTCAGTCGGCAAACTTTAAAAAACAGGAACCTTTTTTTTTTTTTTAAATCGGTAAAAACTGTATTAGCACACACACTACATTGGCAAATGTATTGACACACACACCATAGATTACATTAAATATCCTCTAACAAACAATATAAAAAGCTGGATTTACTATAATTTTTTATTGTTTGATTTTAATAATAACAATATATTTAGGAACAATTTTATGGAGGGGGAGGAAATAACTCTCGCCAGAATTGTAAGTCCTTGGACTTGTCTTAAGGCCAAAAAATAAGGTTTGGCTTCAGTCTTGGCCTTGAAACTGTTGACCGTGGCCTTGGTCTTGGCTTTCAAAAATACAAAAAATAAAGAATTAAAAGTTTTTGTTCTTTATTTTTATATATATATTTTTTTTTTGGCTTTCATATATATCTACACGTAACTTTTCTTAGTGACTTTGTTGAATTCTGCGCATAACCTTGGTTTATTTTTCAACATGTGGTTTTATTGCCACAGCCATTATTCCATACAATTTTTTTTTAATAATTGTCCAAAAGGCAAAAATTGAAGTCTTTGGTCTTGAAAATGTTTGCGTAGGCCTTGGCCTTGAAGTTATTATTCTTATCCTTGAACTTAAACTCTTTGCCATGGCCTTGTCCTTGTAACTTTTGATTTTGGTCTAGGCCTTGGCCTTGTAACATGTTGCTTTGACCTTGCTACTTTTGGCCTTGTTAACAAATCTGACTACCGCACCCCCCCTCCCCACAAAATTATTTCTCGATTAAAGTTTGTTAATTAAAATTTTTACAAAAATTTTTGATTAACAAACTTTAAGCAGGACTCAGTCCGCTACTCCGCTACATGCGGACTTCCAATTTGGTAGCGGAGTTTCGAAAGCGCTTTTACTAAGAAAGTTTGGTAGCGGACTCAGGTCACTACCTAAAAACTTTAAAACGCTACTCCATTACCATTTAAATTTAAAAATACCATTTGAAATTGTTTAAGTAACAAAAAATGAATCCTACATAATGTCAAATTTTCCTGTGTTATCAAAACAATACAAAATGTGTAGAATATGATTTAAAAAATCAAAAACTATTATATAGTTTACAAAGTTTACTTTAAAGCGTTAGTATTTTATAATATCTACAACTAACTGAATGTATTTTTATTATGCATTCATATTGGTTAATCTAGAATTTTCCTCATTTGATTGAAGTAACCTATCATCTCATAGATGAAATCTTTATCTAAAGATGAAAAACAACTTTTAAAAATACCATTGCACAACAACTGCTCCTTCTTGTGAAAAAAATTATTAACAACGCAATGTGTTCAATGATGTTTACATTTGAAATTTTTAAAAGTTAACATCTTAGATAAGTTTTTATATAACTAATTAAGTTAAAATATCTGTTATAATGTGTAAACTTATCCTATATATTTCTTCATAACAAAATACAATATTTCTATGGGTTATATATACCCACGTTATTCAAGTAATATAAAAAAAAACCATTAAAAAAACAAATAAACATATAATAAAACTTAAATGTAATGTGTTCTTGCGTCTTAAATAAGAAAAATAACGTTTCCAAAACGACGACGTGACGTAATCGCCGTCGTCTTCATTCAAACCACCTTCATTTGGAGAGCACTGGTGATACCGAATTTCCAAAGACTCTCTCACTTTTCTCTTAAAAAAGTCTTCCTCTACTTTAACAGTATTGTTTTTATTTCAGCTAAAGACACCATGGCAATTTCTGGAATGCCCCGCTACAGCTGAATTTTTCCAAAAACTGGAGTATAGCCAGCATTTTTAAATATCTTTTTTAATTGATTACTCAATTTTGGCACCCATGACAGAAAAATATAGTTGTAGTTTTATGATGTTATTGTTGTTGTAAGTTGTAGTTTTTTGATGTAATTGTTGTTGTTTTGTTGATAGGAAATGGTTATAAAAAAAAAATACTTCAAAACATTGTTGAAAAAATTAAAAACAAT